GGAGCCAGTGGAACTGAGTCCTCCTGGCCTGTTTGGAGAGATGTTTGATCCAGCCAGAGCCTGAATAATATGGTTACGTGCCTGATCCTTCTCAGCATTCACTGGACTGACCTCAGTAGTGGTTCTGGCTGAGGCAGTTTTACCAGGGCCATGAGAAGAAGGGACTTGCTTTTTAGCATCAGAGGTTTTATTGCTGGAGGACTCTAATGACTGAAAAAAGTTTTCTCGGGCTTGCTGTGTTTTTGTTGTGGAGGTTGTCCAAATTGGCCTTGATGGGGCACCTTCATGGTGATCTGTTTTTTTTCCCAATGAGGTACCTTTGCAGTCATCTGATTTATTTACAGCTGAAGAGGACCATGGAGTATTTACACTTTTAAAGGCAGAGTTTCCAAAAGACGAAACAGATGGCTTGGTTGAATTAGTAAGGCCCTCCTGGCTGGGTTTCTTCAACACCTGCTCCAGTTTCTTGGGTTCTGCTGCTTTCTGGAACACCCTGGCAGCAGTAGGGGCTGGGGTGCTCTCAGGTTTGTTCCCGGTGCTGTGGAGACCAGAGATCTGGACATTGTCTGCCTGCTGGTGGCTGGTACAGATGAACGTACCGGGCTCAGGCCCAGCTTTGTAGCTTCCAGGAAGAAGCACGTTCCAACACTGCCTGCACCTGTGGATAAGAAAGTCTCAGAAAATATCCTCCAGAGCACTGGGAGGCCATCAACACACAGCTGAGAGTGCGGCACAATTCCACTGCCAGCACAGGCAGGGTGAAGGTACTACACTGGCAGAGTGCAGACTCTGTGTGCACATTCCTCAGGTACCAAAACCAGAGCTGTCCATAGCACAGCTTGAAGCGGGAAAGGTGCAGATGAAAACAGACTCGTGCAACGAGTTTCCCCTATGCACACGTCAAGAGCAGGCCAGGTTGCCTCCACTCTGACAAAAACATCCTCCAACACCTCGAGTGGCTCACACCACTCTCCCTCCAGCCCCAAAGGAACGAAGCTGCCCCTCTGCGACCCCCAGACCTGTGTCCTCACTTTGAAGAGCTGTACCTGAAGCAGTTCCTGTGATAGAGCTTCCCGTCCACCAAGTAGCGCTGCACCAGGTGCACATGGTTCCCGCAGATCCCGCAGCTGCTGCTAGGGATATTCCCGCTCTCTGCCAGGACCCCTCTCTGTGGGGAGAAGCAGTGGTTGAGCAGACAGCATGGTGGCCCTGCATACAGCTACGAACCTCCCAGGTGAGCAAACATTCGACACACGCAGACGGTTGGTTAGGACAGAGAAGCGATACCCAGAACAATCTTGCTCCTGCTAATCCTTTGTTCATACGAAGTGGAACAGCCCTTGGGAGGACAGAGTAAGGGGAAGAACTTGTTCCCACAGAGCCAGAGGACCAAGGTGTTTTGTCTGCCTGTGGGAAACTGAAGTGCAAAGGTGTATGATCTGCATTAGCCGGGAAAGGTCCTGACCCTGGTAAGAGAGAAGCTTCCTTTCTTCCGCTGTCCCTACTCTGCTTTGAAACTGTTTTCAAGAATTTAATCAATGTTTTCTAGCAAAAATAATACATTCTGTTAAAAATCTCCACCCACAAGATCTAGGAACAGCACAGCCATATCCTAAGACACTCACGTTCTCTTCACCACTAGATGAATCCCAGCTGACTGATGGCTTTCCAATGACTCCCACCTGAACCTGTGCAGTAACCAGACCTCTGGAGTAAATCCCTTATAAGGAGGAGAGAGTTTAGGGACTGAGTCCTTACCACTAGGAGCCTTGAACTACCATAATAATCCCTAGCTTGCTGAACAGATTTAAGGTATAAAGCACACCACAAACCTCATTTCTTACCAGGGAGGTTTCTTTAGGCTTAGCTCTGGCTGGTGGGTGGGCAGGAGGTAGTTTTGGAGGCACTGGCTTAGGAGGCTCTGAAACAACTTTCTTCCCAAGAGGCTGCTCCTGAGGTTCGGAGGAAGGACGCTTGACTCCAGCCATGCCTCCAACTGGAAGGAAAGAAGAAGGGAAGATTTTAAGGTAACATAAGGAAAATCCGTGAGCTTAGGAGTCATCTACAATATAAGACGATCCAGAGGTGCCTGATGGATAACATGCAAGAATACAAGGAGACACAGGTTTCCTTCACAGGCAGTTCTGTAGCGGAGTGAGTAGCAAGAGGTGATAAATGAATTTTACCAACATACATGGGAATCACCTGGTAGCTGAAACTGCTGATTTTTTTTTCTTCTCAAGGAATTCCATGGAGGGTAGTGAAAAAGTGGAAAAACACAAAACACCATCAGTCAATGGTGTGAACAAGACCTTGGGTTTACACCTGGCCCACAGTTCGGCTGAATTGATCACCGCTGAAACAAGCACTGCTGTTGGGTATTACAGCTGAGGAACTGAAGCACAGAGGGTTTGGTGCATTCAAGCTGCTGTGCTCCAGACCTCCTACACACCCTGAACCTTCACTGCTGTGGGTGTCCACCCCACATCCAGCTGGGACTCTCACAGAGCAAACAGGTTTGTTGAACTCAGAAATGGTCACTAAAAATAGGCAATTCTATGACAGAGACTTGGAGGTGCCATGGTGGTGCTGATGCAGAAACCAACAGGACTTGCCCCAAGAAATCTGCCGATGCCCAATCCTCTTTTCTTTGCAGATGAAAGAGAAACCTTCTAAATTCACAACAAGTGGAGAAAAGAGAATCCTCAACACACTTCAATCAGGCAAGAAATTATTTCCCATGCCCTGAAAAGTGCAGGGAGCCTTCCCTGGGAAATAAGGCTCCATGCATAGTTTTTACAGACAAGACCCCTCATCTGTCTCATGGGGATGTTATTTTTGTGCCACTTCCTATTCTGAATGAGACGTCTCTGTGTTCCTTGTGGGATATGTGAGCCACAGCTTCACTTTAAGAGCAACCAATTCAACGATCACCCGTCTGAAAAGAGATTATACCCTTCTTGGTAAATACAGAGGGAGTCTGGGCAGGGCGTAGGGACAGAGAGGAAGCCCAGATCCCAGCAGTTTTCTCTCAGTAAAGCTGGCTATCCAAACAAACAGCCAGGGCTCTTTTACTGCAGCGACCAGCAGACTGGTGACAGCCGACCCAGCAAACGGTTTAGACTCGGGCTGCCCCCTCGCTTCCCGCTTCTGCCACTTACCGAATTCTCAAAGCCCAGCACAAAGATGGGCGGCTTCAGCTCTGCTACTTTGTAAACACCTGGCCTCAGTAAAACACTGGCCCCTGGCCCTCTCTGTCCTGCTTATTTCACGGTCTTGCTGGAGCCCATTCGAAGGGCATGACTATGGTATCAGGAGTCTGCTTGGTGTCAGAGGGCACATTCCTGGCTGGGCTCATTTTCAGAGATGCACATTCACCCCAGCAACAGGAATGCAACCAGAGCGTTTTGTGGGCCACTAGAGAGTATAAAAATGTGCCGTGCTTGATGACGTGGTAGGCGAGATGCTGGGGGGGAGGGGGTAAAGCCCCCAAACTGACCCAGATTCCCACCACTTGGCACAAACATGATGGAATTTGTTTTGACTTTGATCAGTATGGTTTTAAAAAAATACATAAAAAATGAAGAGAATGGAGGGAATTGCTTATGGAGGGAGAGAGAAAGCATGCTTAAATGTGTAAAGAGGTGGAGAAGGGGGAAGAGTTTACATATTAAAGGCAGCTCGCAGAGTGAAATGTGCTTTCTTTCCAAGATGTAGCACCTTTTCAATACATATCTGTCTTCTCGATCTAGATTCACCCTAACCAGTTATTCATGTCCCACTTTCTAAAGTTTCCTCTGGAGAAACCTGTGAAATTGGTTTATCGTATTATTTCATTTTGTATGAGCTTAAAGCCAAACATAAACCAAGTCTGCAATAATGCTCCTGTGAGCCCAGATAAACTCTCCAGTATGTGGATATAATGCCTTGGCAGTTCTGTGGCCTGTTTTATGTTTGAAAGAATTGCTATCACAATTATGCCAGTTAAGGGGGTCATGTTCTTCTGCTTCCTTCTCTCAGTACTGTTGTGCTGTACAAGCCCTACTATGGATAGTGTTACTTTGGCACAGCCTCACAGACAAGCTCAGCCTTGTTTAGACTCCATGTTCTCACCAGCCCTCTGGTGTGGCAAGGACTGGAGCAAGGATGGAGGTGCTTGAGAAAGGAAAGCTGAGGTGGGGACCAAGGAGGGGAACCTTCACTGCTCCAGGCTGGCTGAACCGTAAGAAATTTTAGATTGTATATTAAAGTTTTAAAGACAAGGCATGGCCCTGTGCCCTTCCAAAAGCACTGGTGCTACCGCAAGCCAGTGTGTAAAGAGTTCAGATCCTCCATTTACATAGTTCTGGTACCAAAAGGCCTCTGTGCAGTCTATTTTGCTTTTCCAAGCTTGTTAGCAGGTAAGGGAAAGCACAAAATTAAGCCCCAATCCTTCCCACCCCTCCAGGGAGTATGGTACTTACTAGGAGACCGTCCATGGAAGTAGTTATAATACTGGGAAACATAGGTGAGGATGCTCAGCCTGTCTGGTACCCTGAGAGCAACCATATCCTCTGCATCCAGCAAGGCCGGGATCCCCAGCTCCTCCTCTGCCACTCGAAATGCCTAGAGAAGGAAGGGGGGGGAAAAAAAAAAAAAAAAAAAAAAAAAAGAGGTCTCGTCCAGCCCAGGCAGCAGATCTACTCCTCATCAGAAGTAAGAAACTCCACTGCAAACAGCCCCACTCAAATAACTCCTCTACCAGGGAACAGCTGCCTCAGTTTAACTCCTACATCGTATGGCCGTTACGGGAACCAACGGAGTCATGGCTTCCAGCCACCGCGCTGAGAAATTCCGGCAGGGAGCCAAAAATCTGGCCTGGCAAGCTGGCCGTAGCTCACTGCACAGGAACTCACCTGGGCTTCCCCTGCTCTCCCCCTATCTGGATACGCACAGCTGCGGAGAGCGAGGCCTGGCAGAAGGGGATGTGCCAGCCCAGGCTGGCAGACTCGCTGCCAGGCTTCCAGCCCAACCTGGAGCACTCCCCAGTTAACGGTGCGCTGGTAGGTGTTTGCAGGCAGCTTTCGATCTCCGAGTGCTGTGCAAATGTTAACGCTCCTGCCCACTGCCTGCTCTTCCCCAGCTGAAAAAGGGGGAATCTTGGGCTGCAGGAGCTCGCTCGCTCTCCCAGATTAGAGAGGGGGAAGAAAGGAATAATGCAGAATTCCTGACACCTAGCTGCCCTTCCAGCCTAGCCGTTTTCATGCTGCCTAACGTGTATTTGGGGCAAATATTCCTCTTTGTGGCCCCCTCTGCTTTGAAACTGCAGGAGCAAAGTCAGGTAAAGGAAGGAAAACCTATTTTCTTTTGCCTCTGAACAAGAGCCTTTACTAGAGGACAAAAAAAAATGCAACATCTGTGAAGCAACTTTGCCCTTGCTCAACCCAGTGTAAGGCTTTTACTAGGGACTTTCTCCAGCCCTCTTCCTTCCTGGCTTAGAGGAAAAAAATCCTTCCCCTCCTGCTTTGGGGCATATCCTTTGAAATGCCAACACAGCAAAGGAACATAGCACTTGCAGGAACGGAGGTACAAGGAAGGCTACTGCCAAACCCCACAGTGAAAGGGTTAAAGAAAGACTCAAACATATTAAAACCCTCCGCATCCGACCTCTGGCACAGACACGCAACAGTGCCGGCGTACAAGCCAACTATTCCTGCCTAGAAGAAACAAACAGCCATTATTTTTTAGCAAGATAATGACCATTTTTTTCCACTGGGTATCCCAGTAAAAATGTAACTGAGCTGACATTAAGCACACCTTCAGCCCGTTACCTCTGGCTGTGTCATCCCGGCTGCCAGCCCAGCCTGGCACTCGCCTGGCTCATAACCTGGTACTTAATATATTCTTTGGAGCATTCTCCATCGCACTGGCTGCACAACTGGTCTGACCAGTGGACTTTTCTTGCTGGACATTCCTGATGTGCAGTATAGCGGGAACGCAGGCCATGACCCCTCCTGCCAGACGGTGCCATTGGTGAGACCAGTGCGACAGGCACAGAACAAGTGACAGGGGCTGCCTGGACCACAAAAAATGGAGGAGGCTCTACACACACAACTGGTTTGGCCAGAAGCAGGTGAGCAATGCAGAGAGCAGCATTAGGATGTAGTGTCCCCTGTGCCTACAGCATCCTCACATTCCTGGGAACCGAAGATCCTACAAGATCACCACCTAACATAGCCCAGCTGCCCTTCTCCTCTACCTGCCTGCCCAGGCTGGCCTTTATGAAGCAACACGTTATTTCTGCACAACATTTCTCATCAGCGCAATTCTAAGTGGTTCATGAAGGAGGTAAGTGACACTGGTCCCCCTTTGCACAGAGGAGGCAAAGTGATATGCTTGAGGCCATCTGAGCTGGTCAGGCACAGCTTTCCTGTGACACAGGCCACGGCTGTATCTGCTACACCACGTCACTGTCCCTCAGCGCTGAAAGAACGGGATCCAAGGCCTCCAGAAACCTTTCTCCTCTTTATATGGTTTTGAAATCTTTGGCAAAAAAAACGTCACCAACTGAAATTTTCCTAGGGTTTGGGCTTGGGTTTTTTTGGCACTTGAGAAGTGACACATTCTTCCTCAGCAGAAGACCTTATATGGCAAATTGGAGCCCGGATAAGATGTTTTTAGTTGAATAATACAGCTCCTGAAATGAAGTTATTGAATAGTGAGGCGGCCAGAGGAAGAAAGCGTAGGAGCTAGGATGGAGAGCAGTCTGAGGGATCTCACAGGGAGATGGAGGGGTCAACCTCACTCACGGCACAGCCAAGGCAGCAGGATACCAGCAGTGAAACGGCAACACAGACAAGCCATCCTACAGCAGGTGGAATAAGGAAGAGAGCAAAATAAAGGACATAAAAGAATCTAAGAAATGGAGGGAGGAGAGCGGGGGGAACATGGGCTGCAACAAATGAGGAGAGCAACTCTTTTCATGAGAGGCACAAAGAAGCTTTTCATTAATATAAGCAGTGGAGGTGGCTCATACAGCTTATTTCCCAGAGGAAAACAAAGTCGCCAGCAGAGCAGCCACCATCAGCCTGGCTGCAGGGAAGGAGCAACACTCGGGGCTTCACAGCACTCTGGCCAGGACAACCGCTCATGGCAAAGAGGCCCTGGTGCCTGCCAAACACCAAACCTCAAGGGCAAAAACACTTGGTCTGAATCTCACCGAGAGGAGAGAAACACGCAGAGCTGAACCCCAGAGAGCGTGAATAACTGCTCACACACTGCAGTCCCAGCTTGGGGAGAGGGTGGTCTGTCACAGGCACTGTGAACATGGCCAAGGCCGATGGCGAGTGGAAGCTAAGGAGCGTGGGGAGGCAAGTTTAGCTTTCCTGGAGGCAAGGACCACCTCAGCCAGCTCGCTGTTTCAGAGGATGTCACTCCTCCAGTCCAGACAAGAGTAAGCTGCCATCGTTCATTCACATCCCGAGCTCCTGCCAAGCAGCCACGAAGCTGTGTGGAGCAATGCCAAGGGAAGAGAAGCATTTTAATCTACTGCCTCTCTCTTTGTGAGGGAGAGAGGAAGGAAAAAAATCCTTCCTTGGAGCACTAAACTTATGTTTGAATCCAATGCAAGAGAGGACTGGCCTGCCCAACTTCTGTGGAGAGAACAAGAGAAAATCAAATCTCATCCTGGAGTGAAGTGTCCAGGTAGGATGAGGTTTTAGGATGTCTCCACCTTCCAGCAGCCTTTATGCCCTGCATCAGGAACGAGCAGAAGCGAGGGGAGACTCCCTATGCTTCCCCTCTCACACCAGCTGCCTCCCAGCTCCTGCTCCATCCCTCAGAAGCATCACATACTCAACATGCCCATGGCTTGAACTCCAGCATCTCTGTCCGAGTTCCTGTTGCCCCAGGACACACTGGACACTGGCATTATTGTGCAGCCAGCGAAGAAGCGTGGGCAGTGTGAGGGTGCTTTCAAGCAGCCAGCAAGCCTCGACATTGCCATTCAAATCAGAAGGTTGGACGCATGCAGAACAAGGCAAAGGATTTTTATACGGCACACTCAGCACACCGCATCTGCAAGGTTTCTCTTGCTAAACCACATAAGCAAAGTACCAGGTCACAGATTAGATCAAAAGTAAAACATTAAAAGTCACTTACCAATTTGTTGTTCTCATACACATTTTCTTTACTGAGGGAGTTGAAGTTTCTGAAATATAGAAAGAAGAGAAAAAAAAAATCTCAGATTGGTGATGTAGAGCAAGCGGCTTCACTTCCAGCTTCTCAAACCTCTCTGAGCCTCACTGGTTCAGGGAACAGAGCACCTCCTCCCACCCTGCCTCTCAGAGATGCTCCAGAGGAAGCAGCATGGCAGATCCCACCCAAGGCAGTCACAGAAGTGCCGTACCTCCCAGGACAGAGCCATACAGGAGACCCAGCAGGCACAGCCATCTGCCCACAGGCAGCATAACACGTTTTTGGCACATCTACCCTTGCAGGGCTGACTCCCGCAGCCTCCCATGGACAGGACGTGCTGGTGCCAAAACATCTCATGCAGATTCACAGGTTTTGCTGAGACAGCCAGGAGCAACCTCTAACTCATGAGGTGGGTTTTTTACCCCCCCAAAAAAGTCTTGCTCCTCTCCCACCTCAAAAAGATACACTGATGCCTGCCAGCCAGATTTGCAACACCCTCTCCCTGGAAGTACTTTCCCAACAGTCACATCCACGCTCTTCTCCTGTCTTGCAAGGTGTCTCCACGCAGAAAGACCTCAGCTCCAAGGAGGTGTGGATACCTCAGGCGCTGCATGTATCGCACGCTTCTCCAACACATCCATATCCTCCCATCTCAGAAACTGCTGCTTCCACCATCACATCAGTTCTGGTTTCAAATCCTCTTTTCTCCTCTGACAGAGCTCCACAAAACCAGCACCAGTTATCTCCTTGGGAAACACCTCTGACCATAACATAATACTACGGCTGATAGCACCAAAGTTGCTGTAGAAATCTTATTCTCCTATCCCTAGGGCTGTCACCTTTGATTTGTAATCATAACCAATAACTGAAAAGGAAGAGACAATTACTGTTTGCAGTTACAAGCCAAAGTCAACAATCCTTCTCCCTTTCTGCTGTCCCTGGACATCACCTCCCTCTTCCCAGATTTACTCTCCCTCTCTCTTGTCCAATCCAGCTGCCACCTCTCTCTGCACTGCGGTGGGAACTCAAAAACTGGGAGGAGATGCAAGAAAGCAGAGGGAAGAGTGAGTTTGTGCTACTGGAAGTAGAGACAGAACACAGCGTGCTTTCTCACCCATAGTAGAGCATGTCCCTTGCTTAGGAAACATTTGCCATCAGCTTTGTTTTAAACTGATTGTCACTTGCTAAACTGGGAATACAAACCTGACTGTTGGCTGGCAGCCCTGCTCTCCAACACTGCTTCCTTCTGCCCAGGTAAGTGGGCAGGATCAACTCCCTTCCCAAGAACCCAGTTTCAGTTTCCAATCCTTGTACCTGTTGGCATCAGTGAAAAGCTGGTATCAGAGAGGAAATTCTCACTGATAAACAGAAAAGGCTACAGCACCAACTTTGCATTTTTGCACGTAGCATCTTTATAACCGACGTGGACCTACCCTTGTTAGTCAGCCCCTCACCTCTGAAAGCAGCCAGAATAACCGTGTGAAAGCCAGGGCAAAGCTGGCTTGCAGCAACCTGTTCGTGAGACAAACACATGATCTGTATCGCAGCAGGGGAACTTTTTCCACGACTTGTAACAGGAAGGAGCAAGCCAGGTCCTTTATCTGCTCCGTACAGAAAGTGGAGCATTACGTTATAAATGAGAGGCGCCTTCAAACAGGTTTGTCCATCATGTCGCAGCCTATGCCTCCTCCCTGCTTCCCACATCTCGTAGTGCTATGTGGGATAAGGAGAGAACGAACGACAGATAAGACCCACAGGTCAAACTCCCCCAGGAAGCACGTAGAGACAAGGCACATCCCACCTCTAAATCATATACTCCTTCCTGTGCAAAAATCAAAGGGACTCACAGAGGTTTTTCTTCAAGCAGTGCTCCTGCCTGGAGATTTCTCCTCCCTGAGACAATGGATTAAAAAGAGCAACAAAAATAATCACAAGCCAAGAAAGTTTCAGTGAAACAATAGCTACAACCATCCTGTTTTGTGTCAGGCAAGAAAATCAGCTTTTTTAGAGAGCCATCTGAAGGAGGTGATTGCAGCTCTCTGCCTCACTCCCTGTTCTGCTCCCAAATAAAGTCTCTGTAGCAGGGACATCCTGAACGCAGGAAAACAGCTGCAAGAGCAAAGCGGGGCTCCAGCTTCCTCAGTCATCCTGACACGTAAGACATAACATACCAGAGTTACCTATTTATTGTTGGTCAGTGCCTTTTATTCCCATGCTGAACGCTGTTTGCTACGGCAGTGTGTGTGCTTCACACCACGTGGCATGTCACAGAGACCTAAAAATCCAAACCTCTGATGGTGAACGTCTGAAATCCCCTTCTGCTCCCCAAAGGAGAGTGCAAACAAACAACCAGGTCATTGTTTGGTCATTTCAAGAGCCTCCTGCCCTCTCAGCATCACTCCCTCCCTGGCTAGTCTTGCTGGTGCATCTCCTACCTTGGAATACCAAAGCTCTCTGGACCAATGTAATCCTAAGAAAGCAAAGCTAATACAAATTGAGAAGTAGAAGTTCTCCACTGAGAAAACACAGGCAACTGAATTAATTGCAAGAGGTGAGAAATACAAATCTGACCCAAGAGAGGGCCTCCAGTGTTGGAAACAAATCAGAGTGGAGTTCAGCAGCACAGGAACAGAAATTAAGTTTTTAGCTCCCAAAAAAATCCTTCTCTTAGCAAAAAGTGGCCGAGCATTTCTCATGCCCACAAATCTCTGTGACCACCCACTGCTCCAGCTGCACAGACCCAGCACTCGCAAAGCACACGTGCTTCTCTAGGAGGAATCTCTGCTGCTGCTGGAAGCACTAACTCAGTTGGAAACTTCACCTCGGAGCAGACTGAGCAAAAAAAAGTCCCAGAGCCATGGTGACCTCAAAAAGTTTCTGCCTCTCAGCACTGTTGAACTATTTTCTCTAGAGACAATAAGATATGTGCAGTCAAAAGGATCTCTGAAAAAGAGCGAAGCACCCTTTGCTTGCTCGCAGTTCTTGAACAGAGGGTTCAAACCCAGCGTGCTCTGCTGGGAACAGGACCTTTCAGCTGTGCTCTTTCTGGAGGTGCAAATGACCTGGGGCAGAGAGGGGACAGGGCTGGAAATCCCAGATGGAAGATGTCCCACATACACTCGTCCTCCTCCACACTGCTCTGGTCTTGCTGGCGAGCTGCAGTGCGCTGCTGGGGTTGACTAAGAGCGGATAAGGATCCCTGACCCCAGAACCATCCTCCCCTCGCCTACGCTTGTCACGCAAACCACAGTCCTGCAGCGGCCAAGCAGGTGGCAGCTCTGCTTCACCCCAGCCTTTTGTTGAGATGGAGATTGTGGGCACCTCGTCCTCAGCATGGCCATGGTCCTCCCTGCCGTATCAGTGAGTGTTGGCCTCATCCTGCCCCGCTGAGCTGACACCAGCCCAGGAAATGCTGCTGGAGGAAGGGGCACCCACTGCTGCTCAGCCGCCAAGGGGAATTTCACAACCAGTCCATTCCCAGAGCGCCGAGCTAAACACCAGTCTGGCAAAGAGCAAGGTCCCAGACAAAGAGAAGGAGCTTAATCAAAACCTTTCCTCAACATCTGGCATTAATAGCTGAGCAAGCATGCATGACTCCCCTGCTTCCTCTAACTCACTTACCAGGCCAAGGCCACTAACACCACGGCCGGAGCTCACACAGCCATCGCCATCCCGTGTGGCAGCCCACAGGGCCGCCATGAGGCTTCACGTTCCTCTGATGAGAGGAGTCTCAGGGCTCTGCAATGGTCCCAGAAAAAGGGCTGGCACCTGCCTAACGTGCGTGCCTGGCTGGGGCTGGCTACAAAGCACTCTTCAGCTGGGAAAAAAGAAATGAATCTCCATGGTAATTCAGCGTGCATCTCCACTCTCCCAGAGCATCCTCGGGAGAGTGGGAAGTGAGGGCTTCACGTTCCTCTGATGAGAGGAGTCTCAGGGCTCTGCAATGGTCCCAGAAAAAGGGCTGGCACCTGCCTAACGTGCGTGCCTGGCTGGGGCTGGCTACAAAGCACTCTTCAGCTGGGAAAAAAGAAATGAATCTCCATGGTAATTCAGCGTGCATCTCCACTCTCCCAGAGCATCCTCGGGAGAGTGGGAAGTGAGTGGGAAATGCTTTTCTAATTTTATACAGCCTACCCTGCTCATCAACAAAATACGAACCAACACCAGCCAAGTTTGAGAGAAGTTACTGTATTCTCCGTATGTTTTCTGGCAAGAAAAAAGGAAGAGGGGAGAAACCTGCACCAGCCTGTCCTCTGATCCACATACTCGATGAAAGAGAAGCCCATGGTATGACCATGTTTTGCAATTGAAGTTTTCCCAGGAATTTCTCAGGCTCCTGCAAGGAGAAATCCCCTGCGCTCCTCTGCCCAAGAATGTCATTTGTGTAAACTAAGACGGAAAACACACTGTTGCAAAACTCTGATGCCGTGACTGAATCATGTTCTGCAAGTGATTTATAAAGCAAAGCTGCTGCAAACACATGGAATGTTCCAAACATCAACTATCCTTTTCCAGTTTTATTTTCAGTATGATGCTTTTAATCTTCAACTAAGATCTTTGCTAGCAGCAAGGGGAGGAACTCAGGATAAACCACTTCAAGCCCCTGGGAAGCAGGAGTCGCATCCGCACGCGCACCCAGCTGCACTTCTATGCCAGTGGCTCCTGCACCACCAACACTCAGAGAAGCGTTTACAGATACATGGAGAACCTGCACAAGTGTTCAGCCTCAGGATCCGACATGTAACACCAGGCAGCCCTGGCTACCAACCACTTGAAAGTATAATTTCCTTCCAGCAGGACTTTGCCCAGTCAAGGATATGCCTGGTGCTTTCCTGCATTACACCACTGGCACTGATGAGGGAGGTCACTGATAAAAGCTTCTCTTACTTTAACCTTCAGCGAGTCTTTGCTGAGCTGGTGCAAGTCAGAAAGAGCTTCCGTAAGGTCCTGAATAAAGTCAGGCAGAATTTCCATCATAAAAGAAAACGAATGGGAACAGAGAGACGCTACAAGGAACATTTTCCCTCTTCAGTACAGGAGAACTGATTTAAGATACGTCTATCCACAGCCCTTAATGCACAGTTCAAGGGTTAGAAACAACCCACTAAACTGGTCAACAGGATTATTCCAGCGCTCAAGTCGCTGAGCCCCTGTGCGCACTCATGCCAGATGGGCAAGATGCAGTCAGCCAGGAAGCAGTCCCAGTCTCTCTACAATCTCCTCCTGGTCACAGCAACCTTTCTGCCCTGCTATTTCGTACCTTCAGGACTGTGAATCAAAGGAAGGAAACAAAATATGTGGAGTCTCGCAGACATGACAGCATGTCAGGAAGCCATACACAGCAACACCATGGTGACTGCCCAAACACTGGGGAAAGCATGCCTGAAGCTCCTGCACTAATCCCCTGCTGCCCATGCCTGCTCCTGCCTCTTCCAAGTTTCAGGACAACAGAGAAGAGAGAGCAAGAAGATATCTTCTCCTTGGGCTTCCACTAGAAGCAGGACACCTGTAAGAGAGCTCTCTGCACAAAAACCCAAGTGGCAGGCTGTCCTGTGAGCATGAGGAAAAAGGAACAGGAAGGAAACAGGAGGAAAACTGCAGTACAGAAAAGCC